GTGACACTGTCCGTCGTGTTGCTCCGTGTCTAAGTACGTTTCTCGTACTTAACTATGGAAAAGAACATGGAAAGTACTATACTATATTGGGATAATGGAAAAGAAGATGGAAACTACTATACTATATTGGGATAGTGGAAAAGAAAATGGAAACTACTATACTATATTGGGATAATGGAAAAGAAAAAAGAAACTACTATAGTATATTAGGATACTGGAAAAGAAAATGGACCTATAGTACATTGGGATAATGGAAAAGAAAATAGAAACTACCATAATAATGAATTTTACAGGGCCTCTGGGGGATGTGGGTACCCATTGGGGTAATATTGGGATGTGCTTTGCTGGGCTGGGCAGTACTGGGGGGGCGGGGTGGGATGGGCTGGGCTGAGGCTTTGGGGTTCTGGCGCAGGGGGTTCTAAACTCTAAACCCCTAAACCCTAAACCCTAAACCCTCGTTCAGGATTTGGGGCTTTGATTGGGCGGTTTAAGCAAATTGCCCTATGAGGTCTATCCAAATTCTTCAGGTTCACAGAAACTCCATATGAATTTTGAAGAATTGTACGAACGAGCGCGGCCAGAAATGAAGAAGTGTTATTGCAATCATGATTAAAAAGCGGTAACGCCAAGAACAAAATGGTAGTAATTAATAACAACTGTCTTCAGCATGCCAAGAATATCAAGTGCACAAAGCAATGTGATACGAAGATAGCCAATAATTTCATTCTTTGTTCCATACAATCATGCTGAACCAGCAGGCAAGTTTCTGGAGTAGGGCCGTAGAGGAGCCAGTTTTCAAAGCCTCCTGCGCTTTGGAGATCTGATCCACAACCTGCGGGCTTCCAAAAGAAGGGGTAGCTGGGTAGCTATCAGGATCCTGCTGTGGATACGGGTTTAGGGTTTGGGATTTTGGTCATCATAGCAATATTAATCATGATAAAGACAGTAAGTCCCAGACCCCTGGGAGGATCTACAAAGTGAATCCCCCCTAAGGGTTCCTAGAAATTACCCAATACTATTATGTGGTACCATATTGGGGGCTCTACTTTGTAGATCCTCCCAAGGGGTCTGGGACCCTAAACCCTAAACCCTAAACCCTGCATGGAGCCACTCCAACCTGGGTATCCTCGGTATGCTCCTCCACGTAGTGCTCGTGCCTAGGCTGCAACATCTGATGGTGGGCCCTACCCTGCAAACTGAGTAGTGTTGTTGTGGTGGTTGAACCTAGTAAGATCATATTCCTGACATAAAATACTATCTTCAAAAAGAGGACATAATATCAATAAAAAAAAACTACTCAAGTGGAGAGGCGGAGCTAGGGGCTCGAACAGGGTCTTCTTTTCTATTTGAGTCTACATGATGGTAACTTGGCAACTTACTCTTCCTAAGCCCTACATGTTCCGTACTTAGGTTCCTTCACTCATGTCAAATCCTTAGCGGAAGGCAAAACCCTGAACCCAGACGCGGAAAGCTAGTTGCTCATAATCATGCGCTACTTTAAGCCAAGGTAATAGTAAATTAGCGGAAGAGTAGACCGCCATTATGGACTACTGGGCTTCAAGGGAAGATATGCTCCATAAACCCTCAACCCTAATTTACGGCTCCCCCTAAACCCTACGCCCTAAGCCCTCAGCCCTAAACCCTAAACCCTAAACCCAGCTCAAAAGCTACCAAGCCGCTCCTTCCCTCGCTGGACCTCCGCAGCCTTGAGCGAGTCCTTGCACTTGACGAAGCTACACCCAATGAGTATATTGGGTTTAGGGTTTTAGGGTTTTAGGGTCTAGGGTTTAGGGTTTAGGGTTTGGGGTTAGATATTGGGGTTATATAGGGATAATGGAAAAGAAAATGGAAACTACTATATTATAATGGGGTATATATTGGGGTTATATTGGGGTTGTATTAAGTAATGGTTTTCTGGTGGTTGAACCTAGTAAGATTATGTTCCTTATACAAAATACTATACCCAAAAAGGAGGATATGATCTTACTCTATATTGGGTACCATAGTATCCCCAAATAAAATACTACTCAAATGGGGAGTGTGATTCATTGGGATTGCATATACATATACGTATACATACACGCATACGCATACATATGTACATATAGACGTGCTTATTACATATATATATATAGATATATGCATCTATCTGTCTACCTGTCTATCTGTGGCTTAAGGTTCAGGGTGTACGCCATACTCCCATGACATGCGAAAGGACGAGAGGAAAATCGCAAACCTTCTGCTGGTTGCGGACTGAGCTCCTCCTCTGCAATGCGGTCCTCCTTGAGCTTTGTGACCTTCCACAGGGATGTAAAAATGACATCCCCCAGATTACTATGGGACATTATATCGGGAGTATCTAGGGCGTTAATGTGCTTGCAAATTGCTAGCTGCTAGATCCTCCCAAGGGGTCTGTTTCAGTCGACCTCAACAAGAAATCAGCATACAACAAGCCGGGAAAGGTGTGAACTCCTGCAACCCTATGAATGCAGTCGCACTTCTCGTAACTCAGGGATGAAGTGGTTTCCATAAATTAAGGGGAACCTAATATTCGTGGAAAAACAATGCCCATTAACCCCTATATGAACCCAGTTCTATATGAACGCAGTTACGATGTCATTTTCCATGTTCTTTTCCTTTTGATTCTCCATGATTGAGCGGAAATGTCCCTAAACCCTAAATAGCAGTTTGCATTTTCTCTTCCATGTACCCCTATATAACCCATTACCCCGATGTAACCCCTATAGAACCCCTTTCAACAGCCCCCTATCTTTTGGAAACCATTGCAAGCAACCCTGGTAGCCTCTTGCTCAAGAGCACTGATCTCGGCTTCCCTGCTCTCAATGTCTGCAGGGGTCACCTGAAGTGAGAGAAGCTCCCCTGTCTCCCGTATCTGTTCCCTCTTTTCCCCACACGTGAACACCGAAAGTAAGTAAAGTAATGACCCAAAACCCTTTTTGAAGCGTCCAGAAAGCCATGATTCTACATACTTTAGGGTCCAGGTACACCTCAGAAGCACTGGAAGCCTTTGCTTTTGAATCACCTACCTGCCTGAGCTTGGGGTTTTGAGCTTCCGCTTTGGGGACCGGAGAGGGGGAACGAGAGGCTTGCGCTTTAGGGGCAGAGGACGGAAGGGTGCAGATACCATGCAGATATCAGAGCCTCCAACTACAGTGTAAAAAGGCCTGAGTACCCACAAGTTGGGACCCTATACCCCCAAATAAAGGTACTAGAAGGCCCTGGTAGAAACTCCTTTGAGATATGTGAGATGTAGGGAACAGAATATGTGGAATTTAGCATGTATGGTAGGGTGCAAGGTTCCGAGTTTGAGGATATTGTCCCGATCCTACCCACTGCATGCTGGCCCGCAAGTTTCTCTTGCAGTGGGATGCTTTCTTAGGATTTTTCACTCGAGCTATAGTCCAAACTCCTAGTATCTCCTTTAGTAATCCCTACAGTACTCCCCTATATAATCCCCTATATAACCTCTTGAAGGAGTTAAGACTACAGCTCACTTGGTGAAAGCGAATGCTATGATTCAAGCTGTTTTCCAACAGAGGCTGGCCTCCATATCAGGAGATTGCTTACTCATCGCTGGTTTATTGCGGATGTGCTGGTATTGCTAGTGTGATGATATGTTCTACCGCCTCCACTGCTACTCGTGCTCTAACATTCTTACCTCTTACCACGACTACTATGGCAGTGTTGCAATCACTGTTACCAACAGTTCTTAAATTGAGGCAGCTGAGGTACCGGGTTGTACTGCTGCTGCTGGATGCTGGCCTCAAGCTGTCCCATGGTCTTTTTGCAGTAGCATTTGAACTTGTCATAGAGGTCCTCTTCATGCTTGCCCTCCTCTTCGATCTTCTTACCCATCCTCTCCATCATGGAGACCACTTTTCGGATGGGGTTGCCAGAATCATCTGCATCCATGCTGCTGAAGCTGTGAGACTTGTAGGCCATACCGGACCCCAATAGGGCCAGTGCCACGCTCAGCATGCGTCGGTACTGCATTGCGACAGGGATCAGCGGGAAGTCTGCAATTCCTGGGCCAAAGATTCTGGCCGCTGATGCTTGAGCCACGCACCGCCAATGGGGAAATGCCGGGCAAACAAACCTCCGACCATACGACTATTAATATTACTGCTATTGTCATTAATGCTTGTATTATCATTACTATTATTACGATTATGACTATTACTCTTAGTATTAGTACTACTCTTATTCGCCGCAAGGAGTCTTTGAAGGGCGCACGCACACTGAGCCTGCCTTGACTGCAACTTACAGCTTCTGAAATTGCATTCAGGTGTCTGACTGGGTCCTGCTTTTAGTGTGCGAGGCAATCAGGCAATCTTGGCTTTGATATGGATGGTATAGGGCTTTAGGATTTGAAGTCTGCAGGCAACAAGGCCACACCCCTACTTCGAGACGTGGCCACACTATTTGATAGACTGGGCCCTGATATGCAAAGGTCTGGCTGGATCTGGACCTTCAACTATATTAAGCGTAGACCCCCAGCCCTAGTTACATCGAAGCCCTTAAAAGTGTGTTATCATTACTATCTCGTTGTCAAATTTGCGGCCGCTACGTTCGGCCCTTCAGCAGGTTGCTGTCAAGGAACTTTAAAGTAAGTTACCATAATGGGTACATATATATATATATACAGTAATGAATATGGTTCCCCCGAAGTAGTAACTTAAATTCTGCTCCTTCACAGCAACCCTAAACCCTAAGCCGAAAACCCTATATAACCCCTACAGAACCCCTGTATAACTCCTGCATTACCCCTTTATAGCCCCGACATAGCCCGTATGTTCTGAGCTTATGAAGCCACAGCATCCCCGGCAGGAGCGCCTCGCCGCCACCGCTCCAGCTGCCGGCGCGTCCCGCTCCAAATCTGCTCTTCGTACCTTAGCTCATGGTAGGTTTAGGGCTTAGGGTTTGGGGTTTGGGGTTTTGGGGTTTAGGGTTTAGGGTTTGGGGTTTAGGGTTTGGGTTTAGGGGACCTCCCTGAAACGGTTTAGGGTTTGGCAGTATCCCTAAACAGGGGAGCCCCAGTGTAGACCACTACGATCTTTATTATAAGGATCCCAAAGAAAACTACGATTTCGGTAAACCCCTATATGAGCTATAGTCTAAACTCCTAGCATCCCCCTTAATAACCCCTTTAGCAGTCCCCGAAACGATCCCCTATAGAGGAGTTTAGACAATGATACATATACTGTCCCAAGAGCCAGCTTTGGGAAACCCTAAACCCTATATAACCCCAATGTCCCCCCTCAAAGATACCCCCATATGAACAAAAATCTAAACTCCTAGTATCCCCCTTGAGAACCCCTATACTACTCCCCTATATAATCCCCTATATAACCCCCTTTAAGCAAGTTAGACTATAGCTCATAGAACTCAACCCTTAACCCTAACCCTGAATAGTAGTTTCCTTTTCATTTTCCATTATCCCAATATAATCCCAATGTAACCCTAATATTAC